TCACGTCTTTTAATTGCTGTATTATATTGTTGTTGTTTTTAACAATTATTGTTGACACACTGTGGTTATGTCATTGCTGAATATTGTCCACCTCTCGAGGTGTATAAAGCCATCCCGTTGACCTGACTCAACTTGACAATGACTGCTTTAAAATAGCGATAGTTCTTGCGTAATGTGGATCGCCAACTTGACTTGACTTCAGAATACTGTGATACTTTTTTTATCCGACTTGCCTATTGCAGCGCGATTAATATTTTTACGTCGAGGCTAAAGGACTCCGGATCGTGGCTAAAGCATTGCGGCTTTTGGCTAAAGTTTGATGAGAAAATTGTAATAATATATCACATGGAAAAAAGGTTAACGAGCAACAGCACTGTTTGCCCTAGGCCAAGCACACCCCAACGGTACGATCTTGACTGGTCTGGTCTGATTTACTGAAAATCCGATAAGAAAATTCACGCGTGAGATGCTTTATTGGGTCTACTTGTGTTATAATTTCAAAACGCGGTGCTGGTCGAGGATATTCGTTTATTGAGAATCACAGATGGGACGTTAATAATTTTGAATGTGTAAAACAAAACAACTTGATCAGAAACATGTCATCGCAATTCTATCCGACACACACACACAGAGTAATGTATAGAGCAGTCGGTAGTTATTCTTCTTATATATTTTTGATCATCGACAGTTACCTACTAATCACGAGTGAGTAGTATCTCACGACACGTGTACTCTGTTCAAAACCCATCAATTCCTATGCGTTCCTAACCATCACCCAGTTTGGTAACCATTTCCTTTGCACTTTTCCGAATCCCCCCTCCCCCTCCCTTATACACACATAGCAACGTTCGTATTAATTATCGCCACGCCGTAGTTGCATTATTTATTGTATGTAAGCCGCAATTGGTCCGCCCGTGACGTGCGCTACGTGTCGGACCGATATCGCAGCTTGGTGTTTTGCCGTGGATTCGGGGTTCGATATCTGCGAATCACTCTGTAATCGGACGCCAGTCCGGTCCGTACGATCTGCTTACGACATGCATTCACCGGACTGGGTCGGAAACATTTTGTAATGTTGCATCATGTGAGAGTATAAATTACAGTATTGGCCGATTGTGATGCACTAAAATATTTTCTTTATGATCAAATTGAGTTTCATTATATCTACCA